TCAATATCGACATTATCAAACTCTGGCTGATTCAAATATTCAGCTTTGCTTCTATTAGTACATCGTCGATGCTCCTCAGTGAGAACTGGGGAAAGTTGGCTATGTGTGATTTTGCATTTATACGCACATTCAGCCGATATTACGTAGCCAATCAAACAACTTCAATATTGTGTATACCAAATGTCCGTGGCTTGATTGGTTGTATATTGATATCGCCTCGGTAGTCATGCGATATCTCACACATATCAACTTGTAAAAATGCTTTTTTCTTCCCTCATTTGGAAGTTGTGGCACAGTTTTAGGATTAGTCCTAATAAACACAACACAACAGATCGGATAGGATAAATTATGTTCTTCCTATGCAAACTATCACAAAAGATGACTGTGGATGTTTGTACAGTAAATCTAAGCTAAATCTAATGACTAATGGTTTTCACTTGAATCGAAATTGAATAACGCTTAGAACAAATGTAGTGCTGAAGGTATTGAAGGCATGACGTACAATTAAGGAATACTGTATTTACTATGTTAGAAGCACATCTAAAATACACATAAAACATTGTATTTATTGAATGCAAAATTATTGAAATATGGTTCAACAATAATAAATATTCAATGAAATATTGTCCATATATGATGTCTTAATATTTTAGTAATTTACAACATGATTAGATCTCCGGTTGAATGTCCCTATCTGCAACAGTAAACAATCACATAAAACTAATAACAAATATTTAATATGCATGGATTTCAACCCTTAAGTAATCAGAAGTGATTATCTAAAAGCACCTATGTAACTATTGTCATTAAAATTGTATTAGTGATACTCACGATATCTATTGGGCACCTATAAATTGGTTAACTTATGCAAATTAGTAAACACAAAATTTAACCCTAAACTGAACATGTATGTGGATTATCCCAAAGCATCTACATGTATTTGTACCAAGTGTTATTGAAATCTGTATAATAGTACATGAGAAATAAATCAAAATACTTAAATTAGGTTAATTAATATTTAATTAAGTAAATAACATGCACGGAATTTCAGCCCAAAACTAATTAGGTCTGAGTATTATCCTTGAGTATGTACCCAGTTGTATTGAAATTTGTTTAAAGTACATGAGAAACAAAAACATACTTAAATTCGGTTAATTAATATGTAAATTAGGCAATTAATATGCACGAAATTTCAACCAAAAAATATGGTCTGCGCATTATCCTATGCATCTATGTACCAAGTTTCATTGAAATCTGTTCAATGGTGTATGAGAAACAGGGGAACATGCTTAAATTTAGTTAATTAATATGGAAAGTATGTAATTAATATACATGGATTTCAACCGAAAACTATTGAGGTCTGAGCATTATCCCAGACCTGTCTATGTACCACATTTTTTCAAATTGGTACTTGAGATATCAGTGGAACAGTCACACACACACCGATGCAGTAACCGCAAAGATTTATATTGTGTGCTTCGCAGTAGTCTTCAGTTATAGGCCTCTTTGCTGATTAATCATTATTCACATTTGTCTGCCATGTTCTGTAGGCAGGACTTTATATATGTCACAAAATGAACGGGATACTAAAATAAGTTCTTTTTTGAAAATAAGTAGCATTAGTCCGTATTTCAGCTAGGTGTTTATTATGTTTTTCAGTATTTCAATATTTGAATTTATACTGAAGGGTTCCCTAACTTCCTAGCAGAAGCTGAATACCTAATTGTATACCACAGGTACTTATGGAGGAGTCCAGTGCTTATCAATCTAACTATAGTTAACAATCTCATATCACTCCTTGCTTTTAGGATATTTATGTAGCAGAACATTTGACCTGTGACCTTGGATTCTCTTTGTAATTTAGTTATTCATAAGTAACAATTCCAAAGACACCAAAATCATTTGGACCAGATTTGTCAACATTATTCGCAGTATTTGAAATATGCGTCCAACTCCCAAAAGAATTGCTTTGGTATGTCACACCCTTATTTTAAATGTATTCTGTCATACCATAAATGTGCTGCCATTTGCACGATTTGAGCCATGTCAATAATTAATCAAATAGCCTATTTTATACGATTATCATAACAATATGTTTATTTGAACCTTCTGGTTTATGATTCTAATAAATCTACCAGAGAGAGATAAAGTACAATTTAAGAAATGAATGAATGTGAAGAACTTACTAAAAAATATCAACATTTAACCCGCAATAACAAACGTACTATGATTTAAATTAGCTTGGTATTCTTGTGTATTTAAAAATTGCTCAGGCGCCCGGTACAACAACTTAATGGTGGCACGTCGACTATTTATTTACTTACAGCATATATATATGTAATTATTTCAATACCGGGTACACTTGAACTTGTTGTACTTTATTCATTTATATAGACAACAGTATTGACTAAATAATAGAACAATTAATGGTGAAGCGTTTGTATCCAGGATGTTGGTTTGATGGGAAAACACTTGAAACATGTTTTTATTTCGAATAAATATGTCACGTCATATTAATTGCATGGAAAAATTCTAAAAAGCGTGTTTTGTTCTCTTCTATACATAAGTAAGATCTCATTGATGTAGCTTTATAGTCATGCCATCGTTAACTTTCTTGTTTTCAAAGTTCAATAAGATTGGTCAGTATATTATATTTCACCGACGACACATTTTTTGAAACACCTGAAACTCAAATGCTGTTTGATGAACTTACAATTATTGTTCGAAATAAAACAATCAATAGCATATGTTTGGTGTTGTATAGTGTGTGTAGTGCACTTGTGAATTGTATTGTGTTTCATGGTGTTTTAAAGTTTGTGGTATTAATCCAATGCAAATCCGAATTTCGATTATTTTAAGACTAGGAATTCTTTGGCTGCACACACAAAAAAAATCAATCGTGCAGAACCAATATATATGGCACTTGCTACACCAGGTACATCTGAAACAAATGAAATGTAAGCATAAGCACGTGATATTACAATACTGCACCTCATGTTTGTCGAGTCACGTGCTAGTGAATGGAACACATTATCGACTCAATAACAAAATCCTGCAATCTTAATTTCACAAAGTTGGACATTCAACTTCGTTGTCGGTGAATATTCAGTTGTAACGACCCTCGCCTTGGTCAATAATATTCTCCTAGCATCATTAAAAATATAGTGACCGTAACCTCGGTTAACTGTCAATGACGTACATACACGTAACATAATACTTTTACCTGGACTTGATGCAATCACTGAATCTGACCATTTTGACTGTTTCTCACATTTATGTATAGCACAACTATAGTTATATGATTCCAATGGCGTGTCGATGTGTAGTGTCTTCCCATCAACTTTTCTTAATATGTTCTGAAAATACACATAAAGATATGTACTTGAAGTGAACTCAAATCTATTCAAATATATCATATATATATATCAATACTTTAAGATGAATTAATACTCACATCAACAGTATTGGTTTTTTTACTTTTATTCCAAATCGTGTTGTATGGATCTTCTAGTCCATCTATGATGGAATTGCAATCAAGCGAAAGGTTTCGTGGCCCGACAGTCTTTTTGGCTATTCGCGGCGTTTCTAATTCTACATTTATAAAACAAGTAAGAAGTTGTTAGTTTCCAATAAGCATCGAATGAGCTATTTTAACTACGAATTGGCAGAAATTATGATACATACCTAGAATGAAGGCATTGAATCTATGAACATCCACATTTCCATCTGAATAACTCTCCGTGACCTGAAAGTATGTGTCATGGAAGGCGCAAGTGACATTTTCAATTGTTATTGAAAGTATGCCATCATAAAGAGCAGGCTGGACCAAATCAGTGTACATTGCACAAGGTATTTCACTGTTTGTATCTATAAATCCATCTTTAGGCGTGAGTGAAAAGTAAAGAGTCGGGAAATTCGGTGGTGGGCGTTTCCACTGAAACTGAACATCTGTAGCCGTAGGTCTTGACAACTTAAAATGTAATGACGTCGATTTGTTAAGCCGCCCAAATATTTTCCTTACTGAAAGTATAAATACAAATGTTTCATATCAAAATGAGAAGTTATACAATGCGTGTTGTAATGTTAATAAACATATTTATATATATATATATATATAGACTATTCACAAAAGTGTGGTAATAACTTTATATGAACAGATTCATTAACACTTACCGCCCACAGTGACAAAACTGTATTCTATTGTTTGATTGTCTTTGTCCAAAAACAAATATTGACCGTCATTCTTATTGCTCACTTTATCTATATTGTAATACTTAGTCTCAAGATGGTTTACTTGTTTACCTTTATCAAGTGAAACAAAAATAATTAAATAGCATTGATCTCTAATATAAGTGATTATAATTATTAAATTAAATTATTATACATTAAAATAATACATTATTAGGAAGAAAATCAAACCAATAAACCTAAACCATACCATTTTTATAGATTATCCTAATGGATCTTGTACTACCGGGTACCATTAATTTTATACTTAAACCAGGCTCAATAACACAGTCAATGCCAGGTGGGATTAGCACTGTATTGCTGTGTATACCCGTAGTTACTGTTACGGAAAAGAAACAATTAAATGTTGTTTTAGAAAAGCTTATACATAAAGATGGCGTTTCACCAGAAACATATATATTCTTTCGCAATAATCATTATCAAAGCTATAAAAATAGTCAAAGATATTAACAATATAAGTGTCAATCGGGGAAATTTCTAGGCTTTTATTTATCAACAAACGTTATTGTGCAACAATTAAAAAAGCTTCTAATTTCACATCATGCAGCACAAAACATTTAAGGTTGAAATTAGGAGGGCATTGACTGGCGATGTAGACAGAAAATTGACTACTGTTATGATTGGTACTTTGTTCTGTTTACAAGTAGTTTATGATTATATGTATAATATATGTAGAAACAACAGATAAATGCTTGTGTATGGCTAAATGTTTGTTTTGGGCAATTGCCTGTATTTTTTCGTAACATTCAAACTGGAATTTATCAGCTGACATATCAAAATTATATCTGATGTGTACCCTATTATATTTGTTGATCTCAAACGAAAAATACGATGTTTATAAACTGAAAAATTCGGACAAGCTGTACATTTCGGACAGGCTGTACATTGCCATTTTGTATTGTTTGTCAATTACTAAAAATCAGTTATGCATTCAGACATCCTCTAAAAAATATAAATACTTCAGTATCACTACAGCGAATAGTTTAAATGCCACAACTAAGCATTAAGTAATTTTTAGAAATTGTGGAAATCAAAGGTCACTATTAACACGCTTCACCCCTCTTGCTAAATTAAATCAACCAGGTTGCGTTAGTTTAGTTTGCGTTAACAGCACTATTTCTTAAAATTGTTATTTAAAAAAAATCATACTATAAAACATCATCTTAGCTTGAGTCAGTTTAAGTTCATACATCTTCTAACCAATTGGTTGTGCATATATTCAAAATAAATTGTCATCCACAGATAAATTAATGCGAAAACAGTTGTATTAATTGGATTGCACAATTAAAATGTTTGAATAAATCATTATAATAAGGTGCACAAATGTAATATGACATATTTGGGATGAGAGGGGGGTATTCAAATATACTTACGTGGTTTGTCCGGACATTCGTAACCCCGTGTTTGCAAGACAAGGCAACTTATAAGAAAGAGTACAATACATCTACTGTTCAATTTCATGTCAAACTCTGTACAATATTGTCTTAGCTGCTGAACAAAAGATGAAATTTGTTAAGTTATCGGTTACTCTAAGGAATTAGCTAAATAGTGTTGGCAAATGGCGAGTAACTCGTTTATCTATGCAAAATCATTAACGATGTGGAGATGTAACAACCATGATGGGTTGTGAACAATCATCGAGAAAAACAATTATTGCAATTAGAATTGTCTATGATAAGATACTCAGATACAACAAAAAACTGTAGCAACACACTAATATTAACAACTGCGACAAAGGCGACAACCTTTCAAGATATCCTTTCGTTTTAAGGTATAAATAAAAGAAGAAGTTACACAAAGACAACGTACCCTTTTTCATGAATTTGCTACTTTGACCACTATTCTGCTTACTAAAACAATTGATATATAATTAGAGCGTGACCTAACCTGTGTGGATAACTACAGTCGACACCAGTCTTGACAAAATGAACATAAATACGTCGTTGTATTATGATTAGAACAGTTTTATTGACTGCAATTGTCAGTAGACATTTTAATGACTATTCACATACTCATATGGCATACTGTTTCAATACGTCATATCAAACAAATCAAAGAATACCACGTTAGATTTCTAATACTGTTGAACAATTATTATTCGTATCAATACAAGACTGGCAATGTAGACTTTGATTGGTTTTCTAACCTTCTGAAAACAGTGAAATGGTGTGAACATATCATGGTCTACATTACATTGTAATGTTTAATTTCATTTGCATCGTCATGTAAACCTCAAATTCTAGAATGTTTACTTTCGAGTAAAAGACATCGGGATTTGTGTCACTTACCCTTGGTTCCAGCGTTTTGTTGGAAGTTGTTAGATACATTGTTGAATGCCATGAATCTTGTTATAACTGGCAGCGTAGCGCCCCAAGGCCTACCACATATGCATTTTACATAATTGAATATACATGTATCTTGCTGCTCACGTGAGCAGTTGAACAATTAATCTCTTTTATATTCATCTTTGCTAGTTTTATAACTCAAATGGTCACACAGTTTGAATTTTTAGCAATTAATTGTATTGACTTAACAACGAGATATTCAAACAAAAGACTTGAATCCCGTTTGAAAATAACATGGCTAAGACCAGAAACATTATATTTTACGGAATTTAAATCATTCAACAACCGGGTCTAACTGGTCCCAACAAATGAGCGTATGAAGGAAGGGAAAGAAAAGCTGTTGTCAGAAGTTAGCAAAATGGAGGTAACAACGTTTGCTCTCAGTAGTTAGACGACTCCAGCACAAAAATACATACAAAAATGTTGTCGTTTTTCTAAATTGGTAGTACGTGTTCTGCTTGCAAGTTTTTGGTATCAGCAGTTTTGACTTTCATGAGGTTATTGCAGTGATTCTATTGTTTCAGAATTCTTATATTCCTCTAGCTGTAAACATTCATAGCATGGAATTTGCAAAGAAGAAAACACACAGAGATAACCGATATTGTTGATACTAATATTTAATTGTAATTCCATTAAAATTGGAATTGAACGGTTATTGTAATGCC